TTGTCTATGTAATATTATGTGTATGTAATGTGTGTATATATGTATGTATGTATGTATGTGTATATCTATCTATAGATAGATAGATATATATCTATCTATCTATATATAGATAGATATATATCTATCTATCTATATATAGATATAGATATACACATATATAATATAAAATAAATATACACAGAAAAACATTTCTGCTTTATAGGTATATAAATGTTTGTTAACAAAGGGCTTCTTCAGGCAGAGTGGTAGCTAAAACAGATAAACATATGAAAAGACTGATTATTAATATGCAATCATTCATTTCATAGCTGGCTAAAAAGGGAAACGCTTACCAAAAAAAAAAAGTGCAAAACCACTTGTAGTATGTAGCATGTAGTCAGTCATTCTAATAACAGAAATGGTCACACCAACATGGTCTCCAGGTCCTGACAATCTAGATCTGTCAAAGCTTGTTTGCACTGGGGTAACGCTTTTCCATGTACATAAAGTCTGCATTAAACTCTACTATAAGCAACCCTTCTGACTAACGTTCGTGGAACACAGGCTGAGCTTCTCAAAGAGCACATTCTGCATAATGATTGCGCAGAGCTAACGGTGCCCACATTCTATAAGCACTGCAGTCCATGTTATTTGGTTCAGAGGGATCATATGTATAGGTGCATCTATAGATGGCATATGGATTAAGAACTTAAAGTCAAAGAATGAAATTATATGAACTGCAACTCTAAACCTGGATCTTTTCTAGCATATTAAAATGAAAAATATAAATAAAACACACTACAAGTAATGACTTCACAAACACCAATCACCCCTGGCCAACAGGGAGTTAACAACTCCCCATTATATTTATGGAAAAAATGTGTAATTCTGCAACTTATTTCTAAAACATCTGTGGTGCCCCCTGTGAGCACATCTCAGCTGTAAGATTAAAAAGAAAAAAAGAAAATGTACCAGTTGACTAGTTTACATATTCTTGATAGATGATTCTCATGTTGCAATTGCATATATTGTCTTACAATTGGGAGAGAAAAAAACATCACACAGCACAGACTTAAAAAGCATGCTTCAAGATATGAAGATGAGATTTGCTGAAAATCACATGCAAGAAACACTTAAGGAGACCCTGTCACCATTTTTTTTTTTTAAATGCCAGTAAAAGAACAGAAACCGAGTGTTTTAAATGCTTACTAGTAGTGTTTTGCATTTCCATTAATTTTTTTTATTCAATTGACTTTGGAGTAGCCAACTTTTCTAGTAAATTCCATGGCAGTCAATTCCCTAGCAGCCTGCCTCTTTGCACATCATAGTTCTTACCTTCTGAGAGTTTCTAGTTCTGTGTGCTGACCCAGGTCCTCCACCTCTCCCCTCCCTACATAAACTTTTAGGTAGCTGCCAGAAGAGAAGCAAAGTGGGACACTATATAATGTCACTTGAGTGATAGCTCAGTCTGCTGGGGCTGTGGACATCACATCCAAAATGGCGGCAGACAGCAGAAGTTTCTGGGCTTTTGTGAAAATACACCTGGACAGCTTTAACAGCCAAGAACCATGAATAAAATATGTTAAATGCACATATAATCTTATGGGAAGATTTTTGTTGAAATGGGGTCATTTAAAGAGGTCTCAAAGGGTATTTCCATTTTTATCCCATGGTGAATTTGAGAAAAAGGAATTACCCCCTTCCAACCAGTTGGCTCCAACTAACTCAGCTCTGCATCCTTGAACTTCCTGTCCATTACAAGATCACAAGGGACAGCATAGTCTCCATCAGCTGTTCATCCACTAGGGAGGAGGGTGAGCAGGGCACTGGCTTGCCTTGCTGTGTCTGTGTGTGTGTCTCCACTTGGACCACGTGTACTAGCACACAAAAGGATGGCTCCATTGGACCCCGCAAGGTAAAGTAGCTACCTTAAAACAGGACATCAGGGCCAGTGCTCAGAGGACTGATTCTGCAGGAAACTAAAACATTTAAACATCAAGGAGCAGTGTCCGTTGTAAGTGACTTAACCGGCATTTTAACCCCTTAATGACCAGTGACCTCCATAGTACGTTACTGGCATCGGGCCCATTTAAACAGACTCCCGCCGGGACTCTGTTTAAACTTGTAAAGCCGTCTGTCGGCTTTACAGTAGAAGTGATTCTGGAGGCTCAGCTGCCGCCAGATCTCTTCTACGGGCCGGTAAACGGGCTCTATAAAAGATGGAGGTAAGCATTTCTGGATCTAAATGTACATGAATGTCATCTCCAAAATATAAACCTTATGGAAGTGTACAGGGCGCTTACTGGTAGCTCACATACATGAAGCGGCCTCTAGGGTGCACTTCTGGTGTGGTCCAGAAAAAACAGGTTTGCTAGATCAAAAGTTCAGAGACCACAATGGCGTTTATTCATCATAAAATGACATAAGCACAAGACAATGTGTTTCAGGGCTTTGTTTGTCATTTCTAACACATTAAGGCATGTTGCCATTCAGACTCCCACCAGCCATTTTAAGCCTTGATTAAGAGGGCCCATTAGAAATCCCACAACATGTTGGCTTGTGCTTATGCTATTTTATGATTAAATTAAGTCTTCATTGTCTCTCATTATTTGGTCTGGCACTCCAGTTTTTTTTCCAGTACCCAAGAATTTTTACACATTTGCATATGGCAAACATGAAGTCGGCTGTTGGTTCTATGGACGAAATATTTGGACTTCTGCTAGTGTCGATGCACTGGGTCTCCCACAGTTCTTACTGGTTCTTCTCTCAGACCTCTAAGACATTGCTGTAACCCCGGGGTAGCAAACCTCCGGCCCTCCAGCTGTGGTGAAACTAAAAATCCCATGATGCATCTCTCTTCGGGAGTCATGTCTGTGGCTGTGAGAATCTTTCAATGCCTCATGGGATTTGTAGTTCCACCACAGCTGGAGGGCCTGAGGTTTGCTACCCCTGCTGTAACCTGTAATGGGCGGCGGTCAAGTAGGAACCAGTGAGGACTGCAGAGGACCCAAAAAATTAACACATCTGGAAATGCTGGTTTCTTTTCGGACTTCATTACAAGATTTCTCAGCATCCGAATAGCAATTGGCATTCAGCAACAGGAATGGTAAGCATTCAGAGTTCTTCAACAGGTATGCCTTGGTTTAAAAAATATACTATAGCAACAGGCTCACTTTAATGATTACGTTTTTGGGGTTAAGGTCAAGTTTTAGGGTTAGGTACATAACGTTCTTGGTGAAAAGTTTGTTGCTTACTATGTTCCTATGCCCCTACTGTGTTCTGCAATGACATATAGGACAGCGGGAGAAACCACAGTGAGGCTGAGATTAGGATGACAACCCCAGAGCCTACATCTTAAAAAAACCTAGTCAGCAATGACTGCTCCAATATTTCTATCCTCATAGGCTCACTTTAAAAGACCATGAAAATTCTCATTTATTAAATGCATGAAGGTCACCGATGCGGATAGAAGGTGAAACCCATAATTGTTATGCCTTTTACCGTCAAGCCTCATCCGAGGATGAGAAAATACTGCTTGGTAAGGTTGTGGAAATATTGTGGAAATGTAAACAGATCTAAAAGGTCACATTAAATTCTAGTCTCTTATGGCTTCTACCAGTTTCAGAACATAATCAAAGTCAACAAATTCTTTGAATGCGACTTCAAAAAAATGGTATGTAACAGACTGCAAACTGCATGTGCGGAGTAGAAAAAAACAATTCAGAATAGAGGTCACTGAAAATCATTATAAATGTATGTGTGAAATTACAGTAGGTGTTCTCCCTTTACTGATACAAAACACAACTGACTGACAGCCTTTTACAAACCAAGTTCAGAACTAAATTCCCCTTAGTGGATATATAAAGAAAGAAAGAAAGAAAAGAAAGAAGAAAGCCGCTCGCCTTTTTGTTTCTACCGTTACTTACTATATTCTGCATATTTTATTCTATTTAAAGCATTTTGTGTCATTTCTTTCATCCCTGCTGGATAACCACTTGTCTAAGGTCTGTGAGACCATTCTCTGTGTTTAGCGCTAAGGACGCATCATAAAATAAGTTGATGACTAGGTGCTGTGCTGCTTGCAACTAGCAACCCATCTGGTCAACCTCCTGTGTGATGTAGAAGGAAGCCAGATAAAGTCCAGGATTCAAGCAGTAATCCACAGCTGACCACTTTTTAGGTGTGCACAGTAGATACAGATAAGAGCTTGCATGAAGTGTGCTCCAGAGGGTCTAATAGTTTTAACATGTGTCCTGCATTAGAATGTTAAAGCAGAACTCAAGAGACAAATTCATATTCTCAGGATCCTCATCACATGTCCCACATGTAATGTCCTAATTAAACTTTACTCCTGTCATATGCAAAACTCTCTTGCTCCTTGGTTATTCTCAAATAGAACTCAAACTACATGCTTGTATCCTATACGAGTGGGGGGGGAGGGGGGGCAGAAAAACATGGTTTTGAAATATTTTAAATAGCTGCTGAATTTATTTTTAGCAAATTATTGCTTGTTTTATAAAGATTTGTTTGGCATTTATATATTTTACTCGTTTACTATATTTGTATATTGTCAAAATAGTTAAAGCTGCTTTACAGGAGTTCAAGAGACTATTCGTGTCAGTTTATGCCACAGGTGGTGCACCCTAAATGTCCAAATCCCAGTTAACAAATATGTCACAAATGGCAATTTATTTATTAAAGCCACAGGGGTAACGTGCTCCTAATCCTACCCATAAGCCGTTTAAAGCAAAGCCACAAAACAGCTCTGAACCTAACAATTCCAAATCGACTCAAAGTATAGTCTTTGCTGAAACAAATGAAGGGGGATGGGAGCAAGAGAAGTACTATTCCCACTGGTCATAATTGCTAGCACAGAAAAGAGGTTTCCCACAGAGTGGATTGAAGGTGGAAACCCCCTCTAAATAAGGTAAAACACAGGATTTTCTACGGCTACTAATGAGCAAGCTACACATGTACCAACATCTGAACGCTGTAAAGTAAAGTGTAATATTTATTTGTACCTTCCAAATTTCTGATTCTTCATGTGATTCCATGCTGCTCTAGTAACCAGGAATGACCCTCTCAAGTGAACTCTATGAATAATATCTAGTGAAAGGGGAAAATGATTAAGAAACACAGTTAATTCCTCTACGCAATGCAGTGGTGATTATCGTTCTCTGAAATTTACATAACAGGATACCCTGTCAGAAGCTGGCCCATTGCCTCAGAAATCAAAACACAGCTCATTAACTGCTATAATGTTATTAAATAAACAAGTTATACTCCTACTAACAAAATGCATCAATGCCACAATGAAAGACTGGCATAGAACATTGCAGTATTTACAGATACATGTGTACAGTGGAGAAGAAGAAAAAAAAAAAGGAGGATTCTTCAGCACACATAAAAAGAAATAAACCATTACATGCAGCAAGTCAAATACATCAGGATTCTGTTAATTTAGATTAAATATTTGCTAACTGACATGTTTGGTGCATATACTTAAATAACAACAATATACAAACCGACAATAATAAACAGTGATAATAATGGGAACGGGTAAATTCAAGGCAAAGTTTACAAATTATACAATATTTCATGTTATACCAATATTCAAAGCACCACAGTAATTCCTTTTTGCCAAACAGTTTTTCCTTGTTTTGGGTTGAATGATGCCCAGAGTCGAATATAGATCAAAATTTCAGTTCATACCTTAAGGATGTAATGTGCTTCTAGTTTGTGGATGCAGAAAAAACTCCTTTCTTTTAAATAATTCCCTATCTTCAGGGAAGCTTATCCCACCTATCCTATACCGCTTCAGGGAAGCCTATCCCCCTCAACCTAACCACTGAACAATCACTTCTTTGTAACAAATTATTCCAAATACACACAAACACAGATACACAAGGAAACCTGTGTCCGTTCCTAAACAGGCAACGCTGGGGTGGTAAAAGGGGGTGGAGGTGAAGATTTGAAACAGTGGTAAGAAGTAAGGTGGTGACTGGGGAGGGGGAAGTTAGGCATGCAGGAGTGGTGGTGAGAGCGGTAGAGGAGCGGGGTACTGGTTAGAGTGGGGGAGGTGTGGGGTTCAAGGTGAACGTATGGCGGGGAGAGCAGGGAAGGGGTGGCATTTGTGTGAAGGTATGGTGGTGAGAGCGAAGGAGGAGTGGGGTTAAGCATGCAGGTGTGGTAATGAGAGCAGGTGAGGAGTTCAGCATGTAGTTGTGGGGGTGAGTGCCCGGCAACATGTATCCAAATTTGCTACCATATTAAATATATTAGGGTAGACAAGAAACTCTTATGGCTCATTCACACCAGACGCTGCTCTATTCGCCCCTGCACAGTGCCAAAGTACTGATCCCAGTGCATTGCACTGTGTTCTTTTTTTCCATTAGAACTTTATTGAAATGTCACAAAGACACTTCAGTCAGTTCTACGGGTACAGCGGGGTGCGAGGCGGTTGTACTGCGTTACATCCCACTGCGCTGAAAAAAGGTACATGCTGTACTTTTTTTCAGCGCACGCGTTCACCGCAACGTGGTGGTTTGGATGGGCACCATCCGTGACGAGGCAAAATTTGCCTTTTCTTACATTGGAGCTGCGCTGAAAACGGCCAGAGTTGCTCCAGTGCAAATGGTGTGAATGGATCCTAAAAGATATAATGTGCAGAACCTGGGAGACAATGCAGAAACAAAAAACAAAAAAACAACACTATGGGACTTAGACATTAAGGAAGAAATAGGCCTAGGGGCTCAAGTGGTCAAGTTTGTCTTTTACGCTTGTCTCCTTTGGCGTTTAAAGTGACAACATAAAAAAGGTCCCAAATATCAATCAATGCCTCTTTCAAAAATCAGGATGTCACCAAACGTCCATAAACAGGGACAATAAATGTGGCATTTACTAACAGGGGTGCATTTTTCCAAACACATTTTGATGGTTGCCTTGTGGATAATCTGGATCTGCTGTAAACTCATATGGGAGGTTTGCAACTATTAGGTTATAATACAGGTTCCAGATGCTGGTTAAGAGGTATGTCACAGACACTACATAAGGTTTCAGAAATAAGTGATAAAATACAAACAGAACACGTTGCAGTACTCACCCCAATCTGCATCACTGACTCTTGCAAAAGAGCGATCTCTCAAAATTCTATAAGCAAAAATTAAAGTAAGGAAATCACATAAATATTTGCAAACGCAAGAACAAAGATTCAAAAAAGTTAGTAATTTCAGCTGTGTCCAATGAGATTTAAAAATAACAGTGACATGGCTAAAAAAAACCCTACCTGTGTAAAATGTTGTAACTTGCTAACTTGCCAGGGATATATTATTGTTTAGGCAGTAAAAAGCTGCATCTGGGCCAAATACATATCATCCAGCTTGAGCAAATTAAAAAATCAGGCCACACCTAGGCCCCCCTCCCCCAATTCACCTAAAATCTAAGGCCAGGTTAACCATATTTGGCAATTCATGCAATTGTTTCTATAGTGTTCTAAAGATAATGTCCCACACCTCTATTTTGATGGCTGGACTTGTGCCTGTCACCACTTGGTTTAACCCAAGAATTCTTTGTGTTGTTAATGCAACTTTTTTCAAATATTTGTATTAAATATTTGTTTAAAGTTTGGCTTTAAATATTACCAAAAGTAACATGACACACACTAAAGATCTACATAGGTTAGAACCTCTATCAGGCTTTTATTGCTCTCTGCATATTATTTTTAATAACTGTGAATCAGCAGCTTGTGATCCTGCCACAGAAGTCCTGGTTCAGACACTTCTGTTATAGGGTGAAGCTACTCTGCAGAACAATCATGCTTTTTATCGAATGGGATTTTAATAGAAAGTACAGTTGGCTGTTTTAACAGACACATTTCTCTGGTAAGTTCTACTGTTTCACCATCAGCAATTGCTGGAGTGCGTGTATAGAGCCAGGAAGAGTCTACATAGAGGTTGCAGGAGATAAGAAGCACCAAGATGCAACAAAAGATTTAAAAGAAAAAAAACCACTGCAGTTGTTTTATGATATGCAGTGCATGACTAACCAAATTTCATTCAGCTAGGGCTTACATGTACAGTACATATAAAGATGTAGCCCACTAAAGCCATGCAGTGTTATTAGCACTATTCGTAAATGAATGGAGCAATAATCCAGCTGGTGAAATAGGAACAATTTTCCAGAATGTGTGACCCCGAGCTGATGCAATGAGCCTTTTTATTGGGAGGAGCAATCATAAAAGTCTATTAATTAGATAAAGCTACAACAAAGTGTCTAGTGTGAATGTATATTGAACAAACTGACCATCAACACAATTATCATCAGATAAAACTAAAGGAAAGTTTCAGATGACATAAAAAATGCCAGGAAACTGGATTGTTTTAGATGGTTAATCTGTGCAAGCAACACACAGACGCAAGTCAAAAAGGACACAACCACAAAAATCACAACAAAAATAACTATTGGAAATCAAAACAACACAACAACAGAAAAATCACTATTAGGTAACTAAAGCAAGCTAGCCTAGAATCAGGGCCATGGAAATCTGCCAGAAGCACTCAGACTTTTCTACTAGAATGTGTAATTGTTAGGTCACACACCTATTAAACCTATAAGTTATCACATAGGTGTTTTTATCTATTTGGGAGGCTTTTGTTTTCTTTTTTTACTTCTGATAATTTTGTTTTTTTTTAATCGTAAGGGTCCATTCACACCATTCCATTTGCTTTGCTGGCCATTAACCGATTTAAACGGAGAGTTCCATTAAGTTTTAAAAAGGTAATTAAATCCATAATTTTTTTTTGCTGCGTCAAGAATGGGGAGAGAATTGACTATAACAAAAATAAGAAATATGTCATAGATCCAGCCAATTCCAACTGCATTCCTTTCTCTAAGTAGCACCCTTTTCCCATTTTTTCAAAATTGCCACACTTCTTTTTGTAGCCTTTTGCACCTACTACAACACTTGGGTACCAAAGTGCAGTACTTAGGTATGACGACACGGTAATCAGTTTATAAGTTAAATGTGTATTGGTGTTGAGTTATGTTTGAGTGCGTTATGCTGTGTGACCTGGTTATGGAAAGACTATCAGCACCATCCCTCGTTATCTCCCATTGTACTCTGAGGGAGCTCAGAACAATGACATTCTGGCCAGGCTCCAGCTATGGCTGCCTGGAGTTCGTTAGCAGGTGGACACCTGTGGTGTTGAGCAGACCGATTGTCTGGGAGGGGAGGGTGGATGTGATGGGATTATATTCTGATTCGATCACTTGCTGTATAAAAGTTTGTGCAGTTGCTCAATAAAGCAGAGTTTGTTTCACCTACACTCAAGCCTTGGCTAGTGACTGGGGAAACTGGGAGCTAAGGATCTTCAGGTTGCAAGATCTGCTCAGCAAGGAAGAAGACAGCGGCGGACATACTCATCCTGAGTACGGGGGTCCGTCACATTGGTGGCAAGCGGTGGGATGCTCTTCCTTGCCTAAGGAGACATTCAAACCACCACCGGGACCAAGTTTGCTGCGGACATAGGAGAAGAGCCACAGTTGCCTACGGCCATGGAAGCGCTGGCCCAGCTCGACAATCCTGGTTCTGCCCAGGATATTCTGGGAAGGAGAGACGCTTTGCGCCGGGAGGTATTAGACTACCTTTGGTGGGGAAGAAATGTCGTGGAACCCTCCGTGACCTGGGCTCCTGGAGGGGGCTGGCGGCCAGCCTCCTTCCCAGTGACTATGGACCTAGGATTAAGGAGACCCCCCTTGTTTGGTTGAACTGGGTGTCCGGGACCAATGGACACTTGGACAGCTGTTGTGGTGGAGCCTGGCCCTACAGCCCTCCAACTTCACAATTCGGCTCTGGAGACACAATGCCAATGCTGATGCACTATCCCGCCAAACAGAACTGGAAGGGTGACTAACAGCATGGACATCCCCAAGTGGACCCGTAGAGGGTCTCACCGGGTCTGCCATCTTTTAACTTGGGGGAGCTATGTGACGACACGGTAATCAGTTTATAAGTTAAATGTGTATTGGTGTTGTTATGTTTGAGTGCGTTATGCTGTGTGACTTGGTTATGGAAAGACTATCAGCACCATCCCTCGTTATCTCCCATTGTACTCTGAGGGAGCTCAGAACAATGACATTCTGGCCAGGCTCCTGCTATGGCTGTCTGGAGTTCGTTAGCAGGTGGACACCTGTGGTGTTGAGCAGACCGATTGTCTGGGAGGGGAGGGTGGATGTGATTATATTCTGATTCCATCACTTGCTGTATAAAAGTTTGTGCAGTTGCTCAATAAAGCAGAGTTTGTTTCACCTACACACAAGCCTTGGCTAGTGACTGGGGAAACTGGGAGCTAAGGATCTTCAGGTTGCAAGATCTGCTCAGCAAGGAAGAAGACAGCGGCGGACATACTCATCCTGAGTACGGGGGTCCGTCACATTAGGTACCCCAGCTACAGTAACTTATGTATGTCAAATGCGGAGGAAGGCTGCATCAAGGAAGTGTCATGCATGTCAGTACCTTAGAGCAGTTCTCAACTTAAAGGGAATACAGGGCCTCAACTCTAGCTCTTGAAATCACCAAAGGGCTGCACACAAAGTTAAATATTTGCAATGCTAGAGAGGATTGTCAGAGATTGCACACATACCAGAGAAAATGATGGTCAGAGACCAGAGACATGCTACGGGTTTACCTGGAGACTAAGGGCATGCTGCAGAAGGAAATGAGTGACATGGTACATGAGGCTAGTAGTCTAGACACCACTACTACACCCTTTACAAGTCAATTATCCCACTCCCATTAAAGAATGCTGGGGTCCAAGGGCTGCACACCAATTACCATGTGGCCCTTGGGCTACAGGTTAGGCACCTGAATCTTGGAGAGTGGACCCTTCATAGTAAAGTATTCGTCATAACACCACATACTGTACATGATACAAGTACACCCATGGTTCTCAGGCAGTTGCTGATTTTACTATCTGCATTGGTTTCAATCATGGTCATGGCAACCAATGAAACTTTAACTCTCATTTTTCTATAGCTAATTAGAAAATGAAACCAAGACTGAAAATATGTGAGATATAAAACAAGTTCTAGTAACAAAGCCAAAGTTAATGTTGTAAGCATTGATTTCTACTTTGTCTAGACATGGCTGCTGACTTCAAGAATTCCCATTCCAACACCCTCAGCTTCGATTAACCCATTTACTATCAGCTGCTGAAGGCAGATGTTGCTGTACATTACAACATGTCATGACAATTTGCACATCAAATCTGTGTTATTAAAGCATTCGGGGCGGATCTGTGGTTCTCATCTTCATGAAGGTGACACAGACAGTTCACCTTTCAGAAATTCTCATAAATGTGTCTGCACTAAATAGGCCAATGTGTATAAAGTATAATGGTAATTATTTCTGAAGCCTTTACTGGGCTACTTATACATCTTTTTATTCACAGGGTGAACAGGACAAAGATCAAGCTCTAATTCACCCAATATAAGCCTGCCTGTTTATCTCACACAGTGCAGTTCTTCATACTATCTACTTATACTAGACTTGCCTACAGCAATGCTGCCATGAAAATTATGCTTGAATTTCTGAAAAGATCATATTTTCTTTCTGAATCTTATTTTTTTTAACCTATACAAGCCAGGAGCACAATTCCCAGCAGAGGCCTTCAGTTTGTCTTTTCTGTTGTATACAATATTTCTAATATGTATCACAAGATGCCACAAATGCACGCAACGTTTATCAAATTTACATCAAAGACTTTCATGTCTGCTCTCAACTGAATGTGGTTAGCCTTACAGAACAATCATTAGCATGGCAGGCACCACTGCATGGGCAGCAACAGATATTTCTACATTATAGCCCTATTGCAGTTTTTTTTTAATGGATACCAATAAAATCAGTGTGCATCAAAACACTATGCATCGAATATCTTACTTTTTTGTTAACAAACCTCCCCCCATCCCCAGAAGAAATGTCCATGCCTGTCTAAAGGCTTTTGTATGAGAGCAGCGATCTCTCTACAGAAGTCTGATTGCCCTCCTGCCTTGCCATCACACTACAGTGCTGCAATCAGCAGGGAGCATGAGCAATGGGGACTGCAGAGCTGAAATTGTTTCAAGGCGTGCCCAAGTGCTGAAGACCGCTGTTCTCTAAAGGATAGGTTCACCTTTTGCAAAAATAAATGCATAATAATAATCTATATTTTAAAAAATGCATTTCTTTAATATTTGCAGGCAAGCCTGGAAAGCATTGCAATCATGATCACTCCATCACAGCTGCAAAGCTCAGGCTTCTGCACATTTTCAAACTGACAGAGCTCCTACGGAGGGACAGAGTTTCAGTTAGGAGAGATGAGGGAAGGACGGTTGGACTTCAAACTGCACTAAATCACCTCATAAGGCGTTACTGCTGTTGATAGGTCCCTCGGGGTCCGAGGCACACCTTCAACAGCAGATTAGGTGGCCACAGTCCCGTCATCACAGCGAGAGCTGATCCATGTGATCGCAGAGCCGTGACAGTCACAGAGCCAGCAGCAGTTTCACTGTGTTTTGTAAAGTTTTCAACATTTAATTTTTATTTTTTTTAAAGCAAAAAAAAAAGGGAAAAAAAACATACCACATTCTAAAATTGTTCCACACTAAAATTGTATTTTGTAACCTATAATTCCCGAAATAAACTGAAATCTCAGATATATGATATACCCTATAAAATCAGGACAATAAAATAATTTATTATCAGTTACTTTCAGCTACACTAAATGTACACAATATTAATGTCAAAGCTGTGCAAAAATGTGGGGGTTATTTTAATTTTTGCATTTTTAGAACAATTTCTATATGCCCATGTCACATCAAATTAAAGCCTATTTTGCCCTTTAAAAAATGGGATATAATATGTGGAGGTGCAATGAATGAGGAAGATGGAAATTATGGTTAAACAAACGCATAGCAAAAATGGCAAAATTGCTCCGGTCTCCAGAAGCAGAAACATTTTCTGAAGTTGCGTTACTAAGGGGTTAAGTAAACTCTATTCTTTTGGGCAAGTTCACACCAGATCCACGTGCGTCTGTTCAGCTGCAATGCGATACATTTTGCCGAGATTGTACCTGCATTCCAGTGCGCTTGCATGCGTTTTTATGCGTTATGTTGCAATCCAATGCAGTTAAAATAGGGCAAGCAGTATTTTTTCTGACTGCATCGGAGCAGACTGCACTGGTGTGAACAGAGCACCAGAAAAAGCATTGTGATGCATTTTGGATACAGCTGCCGAACTGAACGGACTGCATCACAACTGCATCTGATGTGAACTAACCCTTATTATTTTATTGTAAACTCTCAACAACCTACTGATCTCACTATTGTACCATGCTTTGCAGGTCTAAACATTTTACTGGGGGTTTTCCAAGATCTGAAAATAATTTTTACAGGTTCCTCTGTGGTAAAAGGGTTGAGAAAGGCTGCAGTACAGCGTAGTAAAATAACAGTGTAACATATCTCAAATTCCCTTTAGCTCCTGAAACTCTAAGCCCATGATTTGCAATGGCCCTGGTTCACACCTCAGCAAAAAAACGTTAGCAGGAAAACGCAAAACGCCTGAAAAAGGTACATGAGCTTCTATGGGGAGAAAAAAAGTGCATTTTTGCCCCATAGACTTCATTGGAAATGCCAAAAAAACGCACGGCAGAAGCATGTTGCATATTTTTGTGAACGTTTATGCTAATTTCTACACAGGTTCTTCCATTGCCCGCAATGTTTTATGAGCTGCCAATCAAAACGTGCATTCAAAATGTACACAACACGTAAATAACCGCATGCTGCTATCGTGCGCAAAAACATTGCTGCCTAGGTGTGAATCAGGTCTAAAGAAACTTTCTACACATGCCAAGCAGCACAACTCTGTATTAATGCAAATTGAAATTCCTACTTTGCTAGAAGGACAGCAGATCTGTAGAGTCGGCCCAGGATGTGTGGATATTCCTTGAAGAGGCATTACATTTTAGGTTATTGTTCTTGTATTTGTGACCATTCAGAATGAACCAGCCACTAAATTAGGAACTGCTGAATTTGTAAATTGGCTGGATCTAAAAAGTATTTCACATATAATCACTCGAGTTTTACTCGTCAATTGGTGCTTGAAAACTGTTTCCTTGATAACGTGAACAAATCTACTCCTCAAAGTCATAAAACCAAATTAGCAAGCATTGGAAAAAAAAAATAATGGTCTGGATTTCTCTGCATGGAAACGCTCGTGTTGGAGAAGTCTGCTCGAGACTTACACACAGGTGTCGTCCTATATCATTAGCCAGCACACTGCTACATAGATGACAGGAGAACAGTATGATGAGAAGCAAAGCTGCAGAACGTGATGCTAATCTATACACACTAGAGAGCAGAACAGAGAGCAGCAACCTAGATAAAGGCAAAATCTCGCTTCCAAAGTTAGCTATGTGAGCGCTCAGCGTGCACAGTATTTACAGGAAAACAAATGACTATAGTGCAATGTTTCCTTCACAGATGGCTCCTGAAGAAATAAATGCAAATAAATGCAAATAGCTGACAGATTACTTACCCTGCGTTGTTAATCACAATGTCTGTAAAATTAAAAAAGACAAAAATATTAGTGCTGCACACATGTTCAGTATAAGAGGAAATCAAATGTTCAGAAAAAATAGGCAGGGATGCTTAAAGGAAGGCACTATTGCTACTTTATTTATTGTATTATGCCAGACATGAAGCAAGATTGTGTTCCAGAGAAACAATAGAGTGAACTTAAAGTTAAGTTGGCCAATTCCTTTTGAATTGGCTGATTTTCGAGCTTTGAGTAGCCCTGGCGGCACCACCCAGCTCCACAAATGTCAACTGAAAAATCAAAGGAGCCGGGTGGAGAACTTTCGGCCAAGCAGTGAATGCCTTCCAATTACATGAAGTCGCTGTTCAGGTATTAAGATTGCCATGGGTGCTACAATATCCGGCGGGGTAGAGTCCTCCATCCACACTGTTGGGCATGGATTCAGGAATCTATTGATTGCTCCTATTCAGCCCTCGGGGTTAAACGAGAGACCTAATGGTGTATGGCAAGCTTTAGGGTTAAGTGGGTATTATTTGCTATTGGGGTCTTAGACCTTTGTGATGAATAGAAGAACAATTACAGATATCTAAACATGCATGCAGAATACTTTCAGTTTACACATTTTTTCTCACTTGGGTAACAGTATCTCTTAAACCAGTTATCAGCAACCATAGAACAACTAGTTAAAGTAGAAAAAAAATGCTTAACCCTTGCAGTGGGGCTACTCTCGCATTGACAGGGTTAAGGGATCATTTATGTCTAGGTTAAAAAAAAAAAGTAATGCTCACTGGATCCTCAGAGCTGGCCAGCTCGTAGACCACTACAGCAGAGCGAGGTGGAAGGAGCCAGTCTAAGTATCCTCAAATCATCATATTGTATATAGTGTATAGGACGTGAGGAAGCCAAGGGACATCCCATTGCTGCAGTGGAGAATACAGCTAGGAGGGAGCAGTATCACAGTTGGCCAGATCCAAGGCTCAGGAGAGTATAACTTTTTTTTTAACCTAGACACAATGAGCACTTAACCCTTGCAGTGCAGGAGTAGCCCCACTGCAAGGGTTAAACACCCCCCCCCCCCCCCCCCCCCACCCCTCTTTCTTTTCTCTCTCTTTC